ATGAACACCCTTGTGTTCATTCTTTTCATGTTTCTGCCAGTGTTTCCGTGCATTAATGGATTGTATTATTTTTGGATCACAGACATCTTTGAGAATCTAATGAGAGCTATGGATCACCTCCTTGCCAAATGCACATATGTATTCTTACACCTCATTTTGACTTTGATTTTTTTTACTGTAGTTCACAAATATGCACCCTAAAGTCCATCTTTGGGCTTGCTAAGTATCTATGTATCCTGGATTAAGACTACTGACTTTAGGGTTAATTCCAAGATATGCATTTTTCATAGCTTTTACATTTATTTATATTAATTTATCACTTGTGTGATATAGCCACATGCCTCTCTGTCTCTTTTAATTGGGTCAACCCTTCAGTCTGTGTCCAGCTCTGGAGGTTTGGTGACCTGAGAAATAATTGGGCTCCATAAATTTCCACTGACTGCCAACTGGGGCTGAAAGGATTGGAGCACAAAAACGTGCATTTGGCCCTGGCCGGTGTGGCTCAGTGGGTTGGGTGTGATCCTGTGCATTGGGAGGTTGCCAGTTTGATTCCCAGTCAGGGCATATGCCTGGGTTCCAGGCTTGGTCCTCGGTGGGGGGGGGGGGGTGCAGGAGGAAGCCAATCAATGTTGCACTCTCACATCAGGGTCTTTCTCTTACTTTATATACTTAATAAAGTTTCGTAAACAAAAAATTTCATAGGTTATAAAAATGTAAATAGGCATTTTGTTCCTTCATTCAACAAATAGATACTGATTAAGGACCATGTGCCAGGCTTGGTGGTAGGAGCTAGGGATACAAGATGGATAAGACCCCCCACCCTTCCTTTGAAGAATTCACTGTCTGGAAGGGGACATAGACATATAAACAAATCCTTGTTGCCCTAGCTGGTTTGGCTCAGTGGATAGAGCGTCAGCCTGCGGACTGAAGGGTTCTGGGTTTGATTCCTATCAAGGGCACGTGCCCGGGATGCGGGCTCGGTTCCCACCAGGCAGCCAATCAATGATTCTCTCTCCTCGTTGATGTTTCTATCTCTCTTTCCCTCTCCCTTCCTCTCTGAAATCAATGAAAATATATTTAAACACACACACACACACACACACACACACACACACACACACACAAAACCCACAACAAATCCTGGTTAGGCAGGGAGAGATTACATTCTGCTACATATTTCACACTTTCGTGAAATAGCAGGTTACTCGGGCACCTCAGGGGTGAGTGTCACTGAAGGGTCTCACCCGGGAGCGAGTCTTCCTCTCTTAGGTGTATTAGAACCCTGCCCCCTTCACATGCTCTGTGCTTCCTCCATACCCATCAAATCTTCTTCCCTTCTCTCCAATATTTATTTCACTTGTCAGGGAGACTCAATACGGACTTGGAATCCAACACTCCCTAAGGCGGCTGACGCGAACTTAGGAAGGGAAACGGTTTTCTAGACATACTCGGGTCACTTGCAGCCCTGCAGCTAGGCTGTTTGATGACAACATTCTCCTCTGCAGAATGCAGCTGCAGATGTTGTAGCTATTAAGTCACTCCTGTAGATAAGAAGCAGGAGGGCCCTAGCCGGTTTGGCTCAGTGGATAGAATGCTGGCCTGCGGACTGAAGGGTCCCAGGTTTGATTCTGGTCAAGGGCATGTACCTCAGTTGCAGATTTGATCCCTGGCCCTGGTCAGGGCTCGTGCAGGAGGCAACCAATCAATGTGTTTCTCTTACATCGATGTTTCTCTCTGTCTTTCACTCTCTCTACCACTCTCTCTAGAAATCAATGGAAAAATATCCTCAGGTGAGGATTAATAAAAAAAGAAGAAGCAGGAGAAACCATAGGTCAAGTTCACATATATGGATAAGTGGATTGCTTGCTTTCCAATGTAGTGTGTAATTACTGTAAACACAAAGCAATCAGCTAAGAAGCTCATTTTTGTATTTTTTGCCACATTCTGTTCCTCTTGTCTCAGACTTAATAGTTCAGTGTCCTTAGAAATAAGCCATTTCATTCGTCTCCACCGTAGCCCAGGGATCGTCAGTAGCTTGATTTCCTTTTGAAATAACTAAACCTTTCCCTGTCTGCTGTGGCTTGCATGCACTTCAGTCCTCTATATCCATCCCTCTCACCCTGCCCCCCCGCCCCCCATGTCTGTATGTTTCCTCTTCCCTCATTGACCACCATCTCCTCCTCCTCTAGGCATCTTGCGAATGGGTTGCCATTCATCGGTAAGTTCTAGTTCTCCACATTTGCAACAGTCTTTAGCCCTCACTTACTTACCTTCCCGCGTCAGGCCTGCGGTTCCTAGGACACGGCAGGACCGTTGCTCAGCTAAGGTCTTCCCTTATATCGGGGAAGGAGGAGGAAGAAGATGAGTGTAACTGTTTCCCCCAATGCCGTATTTCTTAAGGACATCACTCATAAAAAATAGCTTAGTTATATTGACTTCCCTTAGAATTTTGATGTATGGTTGTTCTCAGGATAAAGATTTTTTTTAGTTGATGTATGTGCACTTTCATTCAAAATGAAAGTATATATTGTTGCATAAAATGTTTTTAATATACTTATTCTTACCAAAATGAGTCACAGGTATCTGAGATCAAGCGTTCAAACCTATTGAGAATAGAGATGAATGATATTTAAATAGCACAAAGGAGGGTGAGTGCAACATCTGTCAGCGGCCCTGCCACCCCTCTGGGTCAGCGACAGGCTTTCCTCTAAGACTTCATGACACACAGAAAGCCATTGAAAGATCTCTACAATGTTTCTTGCACAGTCAATGTTGACAAAAGCTTTATGCGAATGTCTAATGTTACTTATTTTGCTTTCCATATAAAATGTTATTTCCATTGACTTTTTTATATTTCACGGATGTGGAAACACACTGTATTATGTTTTTTTTCAAATCTGATTCACACCTATAACCAGGGATCCTTTTCCTTCTTTTTAGGTTTGAACAGTATCATGTTATGTTTTTATAATTAGTGTAGCGTCTCTGTTTTTTCATCATAAAAGGGGACTCACAGCAGGGCTGTCACCGGGTCACAGGGTTGTCAAGAGTTTAAACAAATTAAAACATATAATGACAGCAACAACTAACATTACTTGAATATTTTCCACATGCCAAGAGCACGTTAAGTGCTTTACCGGCATTACCTCATTTATTCCGCCCTATGACTCTGTGTGGTAAGTACTATTATTATCATATCCCCACCCTTTTTTTAAGCAGATGAGGAAACTGAGGGCACTGAGCCTTGATAATGACACTAGGTTGCGAGGAGGCAAACAGCAGGGCTGGGATGAAAGCTCAGGCAGGTGGATTCCGGAGCTGCACTCCTAACCACTGTGCCAGGCGGCCTTCCAGGGAAAGCAGCAGCTAGAAGAACCAGGCTGTGGGCCGGTGGGAATTTTTATAAAAGGTAAAAAGTATACTTTAGCGCATATGAAACGGATGTTTCCATGTTACTGACGCTCAGTCCAGTCTGGCTAAGGCATCTCCAGTACTTAAAGGCTGCTATTTTGGTACATTTTTTCAGGCCCCTTGCTTCCTTCTTTTCCTGAATGCTTTTAAGCATCTGACTTCAAGTAAAAGCATGTTAATGGAAAGAACACGAGGTTTCGAATCTGAGAAGGGCTCGATTCCTTACCAGATGTGTGATCTTGAGCAAGTTACATGTCTTACCGAACCCATTTTCTTATCTGTAAAAATGGCAATAATATTTGCTTCAGCCCCTACAACAGGAGGCAGACAGTGATCCAGCGTTCAGACACTGAGGAAGACATTTAGGAAGCTAATCGGTGAATGCAGAATTCGGCACACTGCCGAGGACTGAGAGCATAATCTCAGCCGCCTCCCCCGCTCAGTTTTGCCAATTCTTGATGAGGATGGAAATTCATGTTAGGATCTCACTGACTATTATTTTGTGGCTTATACACGTTTTAACTTCTCTCTATAGATAACTGTATGTTGTTCTCATTCCACAATTCATGTAATAATTCTTAGTGTATCTTTTTGTTATTTTGACCAAGTCTGAACATGAACATTTTAAGGGATGCCACACATATATCTAACTTGTGTTGTTAGTAAAAATTGTGGTGCACAAATGATATGAACAAATGATTCATGGACTAGAAAATATAATTTGTTCGCCAGTATATGAGAAACAACCATGCTCTCTAGAAAACAAAGGCATGCCATATGACAGCACATGAGAACACTCTGTCTCCTGGCTCACGGCTCACGGGTATGTGAGCTGGATGAAAACCTGGGGGGAGGCGTTTTGTAATATTTAACAAGAATCTTAAAATGTTAATATATTTTAAGATAGTTTCCAGCTTCAAGGAATAACACAAGGTACCATGAAGGCTTTCAGTATAACGTGTTCATTGTTGCATTATTTATAATAAGAAGTTGGAAACAACCTAAATGCCCTACAGGTTGGTAATAATTAAATAAAGAATACGTTCTCCATATAATAGATTACTGTGTAGTTACTTAAAATGCTTAAATAATGTATAACAACATAAGGAAATACATGTCATATAAAGTAAGCAGAAAGCAAGGTATATTTTATTACAGTATGATCACAAGTCAATAAAGCTGTAGAAGTACAAATAATTTTCAAATACATATACCAGAATGCAGTAATAATTCCTCGTGAAGTGACGATGATGGATGTCTTGTTTTCTTCCTGCTTTTAACTTTTCTATATTTGTTCACTTTTTGCGCAATGAGTATAAGTTACTTTACATTAAACCCAAAACAAACCCTGTAGGAGGAAGGATGTGGCGGCCTGGTGAGCAGCATCTGTTGAGCGCGATGCCGTAACAAGGCAGAGCCCGGCCTGTGTGCTCTGTATTGCTCTGCTCCACCCAGGGATTCTGGGAGAATTAAAGATTCCAGCACGTGGAACTAGGACCCGTGTAGGTTACTATTTAGTAAGAAACTATTATAGAAAATTTAAATTTTACCATCTTACATTAGGGGTGGGAAGGTACATTGTGAAAGGCTTTTTTTTTTTTTTTTTTTTTTTTTTTTTTTTTTTTCATTTCCAAAGAATTCCGTTTCCTTCATGAGCAAGCTTTCCTATGCATTCTATTGCATGCACCCTCTCAGGAATCCTCTTTTTGGTGTGACGTAAGGAGAAGTTTGTGTGCACTGGAACCTTTATCAGAAGCAGACCAAGGGAGGAAGACAAACGTTAGTTCGGTCAGTTGTTTCCTTGAAAGCTCTCACCCCTTGTCTGGTGGTGATGAGCAGGGGCCTGGCTGACCCAGGGCAATCCTGGCTCGCACCTGTTGTCCAGCCACAATTATTCAGAGTGCCCTCTGTTTCTCCCATATTGCTCTGGTTTGGACAATAAGTTACACGGCCACACTAGGGACCTCAGATGTGGGGAGAGGGGAGGAAAGAGCGGTACCATCTGGATGCTGACTCCTGAGTGGAGGGAATGTGTGTGGCTCCCCACACCCAGAACGTAAGGGGGACAAGCCAGCAGCAGCCCAGTTGCCAACAAACACGGCCCACAGGCTGTATTCGAGAGCCTAAATTAGTCATCTATGACTTGATAGTGAGCCTGACAGCTCTGGCTCTACCTGAAGGTGGAACAGAAAACCTACCCAGTTGATTTAAGATACTGAAGACACACCTGGCACAGGGTTCTTTTCTGTCGGCCCACTCTGGCGCCTGGCATTTCCACCATTAGAGTTATAAGGAAATGTTATCGAAATAATTCAAATTCTTATCTGGACAGGAGAGCACACAAGGACAGGGGAAACAGCACAGCTCAGGAGCTGGGAGGATCCGCATGCGGACTCTGCTCTTACCAGCTGCCTGGCCCTGGGCAAAGGACTCGGCTTCCCCAGCGTTCAGCATCTTCAGGAGAACAAAAAGGAAAATGAGACCTCCCTCGCGGTCCCTTGGGGCAGCAATGGCCACTGCACGTGAAAATGCTCTGCTCATACATCCGACACCTCAACACAAAGCACTCCGCAAATATCAGAGTGTTAGTCTTATGCAGTCATTACAATAATAGTAGTGAGCACGTCCGGGGGAAAAACACACATTAGGGAAATTGTGATGGGTGGTAACAAGGAAGAGAGAGAGGATTGGAGCATGCTGGCTGATCATCTGAACCATCTGGGAGCTGTTGAGAAAACACCAGGGAAAACAGTTAGTGGGCTCCATCCCACTAGCGTGAGGTTCAGTTGATCAGACACACAGCCCAGAGTAAGTAGTTTGGAGGGGTTGAGGGTGGGGAAGCTGCTAAGCATGATGCAAAAAGGACCAGGCAGGACTAGAAAGAGAGTGTTGGGAGAAGGAAATAACAGAGCTTTGTTGCTTTGACAAGTTTTTTGTTGTTGTTGTTTGTTTGTTTTTGTTTTAAATCAGAGCTAGCCTTGCTAGAAAACTAAAGGCTAAAACGAATTTTTGAAATTTTTGGTAAACGCCCCTCCCAACCCACTTCCCCCAACACGAGCGCATAAACCGCATGTGGGTGGAGATTTTTATCCCTTTGCTTCACTGCTGAACTCCAAGCACTTAGAACATCGCCTGGCACATAGACGGGCGTATCAAAAATTGCACAAATGAATGTTATTTGCCCGTGTCACTGTTTCCCCCACTCATGCCTGTAATGTACAGTTGGCTACATGTTGTTGTTGCTGTTCTGGAGCTGCTAAAGGGGAAGGCTGTCAGCCAGGTTTAGGACGCGAGCCTTGATCCAGGTCAGGGCTCTCAGGTGGTAATTGCTACTTCCACCACCAACCTTGATCTTTGTTGGCGACTTGTCAGGTCCAGTTGTTGTGATATCTGACTTACACTCTTCAAACACTAGGGTTACCCTACAAGGACAGAGCTTTTTAAAAAGTTGTGTTTCATTGGTTATTTCTGCAAATAATACGGAAACAGGAGTCTGATCTTTCATTTCTCATTGAAATTTGTTGCTATCCTTTAGAATATCCAGTGCAATACAAGGATTTAAATAATGCAATTTGGTGATTATTTTTATTGTAACTTTACTGATAGTCTTAGGCTTTGGAATAGGAAGTAATTGAGATTTTATTTTGGGTACCCTCCCTTCTCAGCTATTCCTTCAATCTACTGCCAGATGTGTAATATACAAACTGTAGATTGAGATGAGTGGATCTCATCAGTTCAATTCTAGAAATGTTTGCTGAGTGCCTACTATGTTCTGTCACGTCGGGGGCTGAAAAAATGAAGATCAATAAGATAGCTATTACCTCAGTCTCTAGTGAGATACATGACACCAGAATACACGTATATACATATGTATGCATATGTTATTATGCAAAAACCAGATACACACATCCATACATATACATACAGTCAGCCCAGGATGCTTTTGAAGACATTTAATGAAATACTCAATTTAAAAATCTCAAACAGGGAGCCCATTTATTATTCACAATCAAGAATTCTGAGGGAGTCTCTTGGTTGCCTAATACACTGCCCCGATGACATCATGGCTCTGACCTGCTTCTCTGCACTTTTTAGAGTACAGAGAGGGCTGTTCCACATTCTTCCAAGATGACCAGGGGAACAACTGGAAGGGTAGATGCAAACATAACTGGAGCCTGCCGGCAAGGAAGAAGTGTGTGTGCGGGGGTGGCGGTGACTGGGTCTGCGGGTGTGATTAGGGGGAGTAGTCCGTCAACTGCCACACCCAGATTTTAAAGTTTAGTAATCTTCTAGGCTAATTTTGCCTGAGAAATGCAATGATTTGTTAATACACTAAAGCCTGCTAAAGAGCAAAACAGGACAGCGTAGGCTAGGCTTGTTAATATGTGGCATGATTTTATGGTATTATTTAGTTTAATAGACAAAATTATACATGTTCATTAAAAAATATAAGCAGCAAAAGCAGACCATGGTTTAAGGTCTGATGTGTGTCATTTTCACATTTACATTTCTATGCATTTCCAAACAAAGGCATAGGTGTATGCATACGTGTGTGTACACACTCACCAAAAATGTAGATGCAGCCTCAGTATCCAGTATGCTTGTGTTCTTGGCCTGGATCCTCTAGACAGGAGACGCAGACACAAGGATTAATTAAGGTGAGTGCCCTGGCCAGGGTGGCCAGCTGGTTGGAGCATCTTCCTGTGCACTGGAAGGTCGTAGTTCAATTCCTGGTCAGTGCACGTACCTAGGTTGTAGGTTCCATCCCCTGTTGGGAAGCATGTGGGAGGCAACCGATGGATAAGTCTCTCGGACTTTGATGTCTCTCTCTCTCTCTCTCTCTCTCTCTCTCTCTCTCTCTCTCTCTCTCTCTTCTCCTCCCTTTCTAGAGTCAATTAAAAAAAAACGCAAAATGCTTTAAAAAAAAAAACCACAAGACAAAAAAAAAGGATTAAAGCGCAGCCACAGATGGTGGTGAGGAGGAAACAGTAGATGGAAGGTAATAAAGAGGCAAAGCAACTTGGTGTGACGTGGATTGGCAACGACACAGCAGGTGCTTGGCAGGTGTATCCACTTGGCACGCAGGACTCCTCTGGAGAGGCTGCAAGAAGCCACACTCGGGGCAGTCCACTGCAGGAAGCGGGGAGCGGGTCTTCTGCTCAGATCCCTCCTGCCCCTCATTTCCCATCAGCCAAGCTTCACCCAGAGGAAGGAACTCCTTACGTTTTCGGCCCTTGGCAGCCATTCAGTAAGCCAGTTCCCATGCTCCACAGTGTGGCATTTCATCCAAATCTAGGATGACGATGTAATGCCAAACAGGGCCCATCGTGGAGGAAGTAAAGGCTATGCAGGCCCAGGGTACCAACTTGAACTTCAGCCACCTCAGGGAGCTCAGCGAAGGCAGTGGTCACGGTCTGCGAAGGTGCTCAACGATTGCATCCAACACACTGGCTTTGCAAAATGGGATAGTATACACATTGTTCTGATATTTGTTTTGTTAACAAAAAGTCACAGCCATTACCCCCCGTCAGCATTTTGAGATCAAACTCATTCTTTTTAACAGATGCCTACGATTCTAGAGAATGGATCTGCCATAATTTATTTTGCCATTTCCTTACGGATGGACATGCCGGCTGTTCCCAGTTTTCCATATTATAGAAATTACCCGTCAACAATATACTAGTATACAAGTCTTCCTGGAGGTCAAATTTAAAGCGCGGAGGGTAATTTGAAAGGGAAGATCTGACTTAAAATCAGTCTGGAGCGTTGCTAATCTGATCCTGTGACTGCATTAATGATGCCCTGTTGCACTTGGCCCCGGGTCTGGCGGTTCTGAGCGTGTGCCCCTGACGGGGAGCTGCTGGCTTTGCAGATGAAGGTCTGCAACATTGCTAAGGCGCGCGACTCTCTGCGAGGCTCCCAACGAGGAGCGATTACTTTCCATTTTTGCATATGCCCCAAAGCCTTTCCATTTGAGTGATCTTGTCAGTGTATCAAATAAAGAAAGAAAGGAAACTCTGTGCATTTGACTCTGCCCAGCCTGCCTTTACGGAGCCCTCTCCTGAGCAGATGTCATTAGTCGGGTCTTGGCCTCCAGGTGGGAGCTTGCGGAGGGCACTGTGCGTTCCCTGGCAGGGGGTCTGAAGTGTTCAATGATAAGACGACCACCGCCACATGGGAAATTTTACACATTTCTACATCTCAGGCTTGTTTTAGAGGAAAGCTCTTTTATTTTGTATTTTTGTCTTGATAATGCTTTGACATCTTGACAGTTTCGAAGGTGATGACCCCTCATGGGAAGCAGCAGGGACTCGGTCTGCTTCCCCTCTTTTCTAGGCGATGTCCCCTCTGTCTCCAGGAGACTGCACAGCCTCTAAAGACCACTCTGGTACCCTTCCTTCCTCCTCTTCCCCGAAACTGTTTAACTATGGAGTTTCTGAAACCTGCAACTTTAATGACTCTACTAAATCCAACACTAAGCATCAACTAACCTCTCAGACAGTAGATTTTATTATTATAGAATACAAATATTCTTTATTCTACTGCCCTGTTGATTTCTTTCTCAGAGAAGCTTAATAACATAGATCTGCAATAAAATAAAAGTCAAATTCTGCATGAAACTATGTAAAATATTGATCAGACCAAATAGGAATGACAAAATTATTAATGTAACTTAGCCCTTAAAGTGCTTGACTAGCAATGCAGAGTGAGAGAAAGAATGCTTCTAGAATTTAGTAAGTGCATCTGACCACTGAATTTAGAATCAGAATAATATATTATGCCTTTATTTTACATGATACTATTTAATATATTTAATGCAAATATATTATGCCACTTTATTATCAGACTAGAAGCATGGTGCACAGATTCGTGCACCAGTGGGGTCCCTCAGCCTGGCCTGTGCCTTCTCACAATCCGGGACCCCTTGGGGATGTCGGATAGCCGGTTTCAGCCAGATCTCCACAGGCCTGATCCAGACAGGAGGGAGCCCAATCCTGTGCATTGAGTGTCTGTTTCCTGGTGGTCAGTGTGCGTCGTAGCGACCAGTCGACTGGTCATTCGGTCACTTAGGCTTTTATATATATACTAGAGGCCCAGTGCACAAAAATTTGTGCACTCGGGGGAGAGGAGGGGGTCCCTCAGCCCGGCCTGTGCCCTCTCGCAGTCTGGGACCCCTCAGGAGATAACGCCCTGCTGGCTTAGGCCTGCTCCCGGGTGGCAGAGGGCAGGCCCAATCCCTAGGTGCAGCCCCTGGTCGGGCTCAGAGCAGGGCCAATTGGGGAGTTGGGGCGCTGCCCCCTGTCATGCACAGAGCAGGGTGTATTGGGTGGTTGTGATGCCACCCTCAGTCACGCTCAGGGTAGGGCCAATTGGGGGGTTGGGGCGCCACACCCTGTCACACACAGAACAGGGCCAATCAGGGGGTTGGGGTGCTGCACCCTGTCACACACAGAGCCGCAGGGCGATCAGGGGGTTGGGGAGCTCCCCCTTATCAGGCACAGAGCAGGGCTGATCAGGGGGTTGGGGTGCCTTCCCTTGTCACGAAGAGCAGGGAGGATAGGGAGGTTGTGGCCCCACCCCCTGTCACACACAGAGCTGCAGGGCGATCAGGGGGTTTGGGTGCTGCCCCCTGTCACGCTGATCCCGGGGCCAGGAGACCTTGCGGCACCGCTGATCCCGGTGCTGGGAGGCATATTACCCTTTTACTATATAGGATAGAGGCCTGGTGCACGGGTGGGGGCCGGCTGGTTTGCCCTGAAGGGTGTCCTGGATCAGGGTGGGGGTCCCCACTGGGGTGCCTGGCCAGCCTGGGTGAGGGGATGATGGCTGTTTGCAGCTGGTCACACCCCCTTCAGGGTGGGGTCCCCACTGGGGTGTCTGGCCAGCCTGGATGAGAGGCTGAGGGCTGTTTTCAGGCTGGCGGGTGACTGAAGCTCCCAACCGCTCTTTTTCTTTCTTTTTTTTTTTTTTTTTATTCTGGGCCAGCTTTAGCTCTGAGGCTCCAGTTCTTAGGCCTCTGCTGCTGAAAGCAGGTATCTGGTTTGTTTGGGTCCTATAATCAAAACACTGTTTCAACTCCAGCTCTGAGATCCCGGCTGACTGAAAGCAGGTTTCTGGGGTTTTGTTTAGCTTCTATATTTGTAACAATGTTTCAAACTGCAAGCTCAGAGGCCAGCAGCGGCAGGCGGGGAACGTTGGAGTCCTCTGTCACTGAAGCAAGCAAACCTCATGTTCGCTTCAAGCTGCCTGGCTGCCGGCCGCCATCTTGGCTGGCAGTTAATTTGCATATCGCCCTGATTAGCCAATGGGAAGGGTAGCGGAGGTACGGCTAATTACCATGTTTCTCTTTTATTAGCTAGGACTAGAGGCCCGGTGCACAAAAATTTGTGCACTGGGGAGGGGGGCGGCGTCCCTCAGCCCGGCCTGTGCCCTCTCGCAGTCTGGGACCCCTCAGGATATGACCATCTGCTGGCTGAGGCCTGCTCTCAGGGGATTGGGCCTGAGCTGGCAATCAGACATCCCTCTGGCAGCCCAGCAGTCCTCGGGGGATATTCACTTGCCAGCAGGGAGCAGACCTAAGCTGCAGTCAGACATTCTTAGTGCTGCTGAGGAGGCAGGAGAGGCTCCCACCACCACCTTTCTTTATTAACAGTGCGGAAATGAATAACTTTTTTCCCCCTTGACTAGGGATCAAAGGATTGGTGGGGTTGGGCCACTAAAGGGAGTAAATTGGAAATACAGACATTGAGATATCAGAAAATAGAATGATGAAATTGAGATTTTGAAGTCATGGGAACCTAAAGTACATCATAGGGACTATAGTCAATAATACTGTAATTACTATGTATGTAGTCAGATAGATACTAAAGTTATTGGGGTGATCAGTTTGTAACGTATGTAAATGTATAATCACTATGTCACACACCTGAAACTAATATAATGTTGTATGTCAACTGTAATTAAAAATAAATAAAAAATAAAAAATTAAATGATGAAATTAATAATAATTAACAAAAATTAACACATGACAGGCAGAGAGAGAGAGAGAGAGAGAATGAGAGAGAGAGAGAGAGAGAGAGAGAGAGAAAACAAGAGAGCATGACCCAAAGGCCAATAGATGAGAGCAAAAGTAAATATTATTGGGTGAACTAATCTGATAACATGAGATTTAAAGTTGAAGAATTTCAGGGAGGGGAGTGAGAAGGGTCTGAAAGTGACAGTGAGAGCAAAGAGGTGACCTACCCATCCCTAGGCCCAGGTAGGAGGACTGTGGGAGAAAAGCAGCCACTGCGCAAGGCGTTGCAGGGGAAGCAGTAGCCTCGGGGAAGAGCCAGGTTTCTAGAACAAGGAGGTGAACAAAATGCTCAGGTTGAGGATAGAGGGGATTTAGCTGATGACGGATGAATTCCAGAGGGCTCAATGGAAGGATTCCATTTAACTATACAATGTTCACAAGCAGTGTTTTTGCAGTAGTTTTGCCAATTATCTTTTTTTTTTTTTTTAGTCTAAAGTTCATCTTTTAGTAGTTTTCTGAAGAAAAGCTAATAGTAACAATGTTAGCTGGGGTTTTGCATATTAAAAACTGTCTATAGTCTTTATGATCGAAAGACAGTTTCACTAGATATAGTCTTCCTGTTCACTTTTTGTACTTAAGTATCTTGTATATGTTACTCCAGTGTCTTCTTGTTATGAATGTTGCTGTGCAGAAATCTAAGGACATCCTATTTCCCCGTTATAAGTGACTTGATAACGTGTAATGTTCCCGAAAGGATTATATTCTCCTCTTTTGTAGTTATTAGCTATACCAGGTAAAATGTCCCTGGAATGCAATACATTCTTTCAATAAAGAGAATTAAGTTTTCTTTTAATTGAGCAAAGCTTTCTTCAATTATATTTTAAAATATTTGTTTTGTATTATTATTTTGTTTTTTTCCCTTGGGGGCACCAATTATAATTTTTTAAAAACAATCTCTTTTGCCTATTTTCTATATTTGTTATTTTGTTTCTAATCTCTCTTATTTGATTTTTCATTTTATTTTGCTTGTTTTTCTCGTTATTAATCACTATCTTTTTGTTGTTTTATTTTTTTAATCTTTATTGTTGAGAGTATTACAGATGTCCTTAATTACTATCTTTTAAGTTTCCTTCCCACTTTCCTTTGAATTTTGTATTCATTTCTGTGACGGCTTGGTGTTTTCTACTGCTTCTCTTCTGAGCTCTTCTATTTCTCATTTCACCACCTCCTGTTATTTCACTGTATCTTCCTTGAAATACTGCATTTATGCTTTATGATTTTTTTTTATAGAGGTGATTGCCGCATTCCCCCTGACCCCCAAATTCAGGGGAATATATTTTTAAAAAAATGTATCTGCCATAGCAACATTTCACTGGTAAAGTGTCCTTTATATGTTAAGTTTTGCCAACATTTCTGTTACAGATCTTTATATTGGTGCTGTGCTACTTTCTTTCTTAAATCTCACCACTGAATGGAGTGTTTTACTGGCCCTGCTATTTACAGGAGTTGCTAGCACAGTGGGAAGGAGCTGGTTTTCACTGAGCACAGGTCTGTGCCGCGTGTGCACAGATTGCTTCTTGCAAATATGGGCTATTTGTGTGACTCTTTGTGTGGCCTCAATTGCACTGTCTTTTTTAATCCAGCTGGGTGCAGGGTCTTTTGTTGCCAGCATGGTTTGCTTGCCCCAGTTTTCACACCCCCTTTTGCAAACAAAGGATAACGTTTCTGTAACTCAGAGTGTGTTCCTTACCTTTAGGAGTTAGACGTTCGCTTAGCAAGGTCTAAGCTGGGCCTTCTTGCTGCTGAGTTCGTCTCTGCTTCTTCTCTCTCCTTTCTCCCACACAATTTGTCTTCAATCTGAGCTGCTTTTGGCAACCTTTGTACATGTTTTAGGATCTGAGCAGTATACTTCTGTCCTAGTTTACCAAAAAAAAAAAAGGGGGGGGGGTTGTGGATTTGGGGGAATGGAAATGTAGGTTGTGTTTTTATCCTTGTAGCTCTTAAATAATTTTTAAATACAAAGAGAAAATACTAGTATAGCTAGTCATGTTCACACTAGAAGCCGTCTCTAATTCTTCAGAATAGTGATGTCTATATTTCATAGATAATTGGAAACTCATATGTGTGTGGCCTGAATTCTCTCTCCTAGTGATATTCAAAACTATGAATTTTTTAAGGATAATATATAAAGAGTTCTTCAAAATTATTTAGTCAACTATTAATAAAAATGCACATATAGCCTACCAAACCTAGGGATTCCTCATTTCTTTTGGTTAAGCCTTAGGTGAAGCCTCATAATTACAATATACTAGAAATGGCAAGACCCTAAGAGACAGACTAATTAAGAGTTTACATTGTTCATTTACTCCTTATAAAATATCATGCTAAGCAATTTTTAGATATTTCCCACACTACTTCCAGTTCTTTGCCTCAAGGTCAGGCTCTACATTATCTGAATCATCTGGGCCTTGAGCTGGCATTGCCGGCATTGAATTGGGGACAGATACCCATTCCTTGCAGCCAAAGTGTCTGCCTATGTGGCAGGATTTATTGCACATGGGGATGATGTCAGAGTATTTCCGATCCTGAAAGATACCTATCTAAAGCAAAAACTTATTGATTAATTTTGATTATGTCAATGACAATATGGTTACGTATTTGAGCAGTTCTTGAGACTGCATTCAAGCAGTTTATAGCTGAATTTTTGCTCCAAATTGTTGTTATTGACTTGCTATCAGCTTGGATTTCAGCAGTTTCATGAAAGAGAGGCATGTAGACAGAAATTTAGGGCAATTTTGCGATTAATATGCCACTTCTCAAATTCTAGTTAGATTGTGTCTTTTTCAATAGCATAATTTCCTTTCAGGTCTGTAAAATGAAATTCCTCTTTAACCAAGCTGCACAGATAGGAGAGATACTTGGTAACTCAAACACATCTTGAGGTTTGCACACCAAAAACAGCTGCAGAAACTTAAAGTATATTTCATATTCATCAAAATATGTCGTCCAAAATTTGGAATTTATTTTTACCAAAGCAGTACAGCAACTCCTCAAAGCCTTTAATTACATGAAGCTTAGAAAAGTTGCCATGAGCTCACTTCATTTGCCTGACTTGAGCCTGAGATCTTCACTTCCTGAAATAAAAGGTCTTCTTTTCCCCTGGGATTTCAAGCTCAGTCTATTCAGATGTTTCATCAGACCAGCAAGAAACGACAATCTCTTGGACCACTGTATGTTAAGTTGGGTCTCTGAGAGCCTTTTCATCCCCAAAGTCCTTGACCTCAAACCATGTCTTACAAACAAGCAAACAAACAATCTCTTAAACAAGTGCCCATAATCTAGACTTCTGATTACATTAAAAGAAACCCAAACTGAACACACTGCTTTGTCTTTGTCCAGTCTGGTGAGGGTCAAGGGCACAGGCTCAGAAAATGTTGACAACCACAGTAACTTCCATTCTTACACCAGGAAAAAAAATCTTTCTTACACAGCTCAAATCACAAACTGGCCTGATGCAAGGAGCATCCAAATTCTCTTTTGTCTTGAATTAGTATTGAAGTATTTCCCACTTTTTGATTGCAGTACCCCACCTATGGTAAACATATGCATGTATACCTAACTTCTCAAATTCCTTACAAGCAGAGATACCCCTTGAAACGTTTCCAGCTTGTCAAGGTCACTTAGGTGGATACTGCTGCTTTATAGCATTTCATTCCATACATTTGACGCATGGGCTTATATCTTAAATTTAAAATAAAATAAATATTACTAGTAAGTTATGTTTTTGTTATTATGCTTTTAGTTTATATTGCTCGTTTAACTTTTTTCACTATACAGCCTGGATATTCTTTTTTTTTAAAAAAAAATATGTTTTTATTGATTTCAGAGAGAGGAAGGGAGAGGGAGAGAGTTAGACACAGCAACGATGAGAGAGAATCACAGGCTGCCTCCTGCACGCTCCCGGGCATGTGCCTGACTGGTTCATGGGTCGACACTCAACCACTGAGGCACACTGGTGGAAGCCTGGATATTCTTTATGTATGCATGTTTTATTTATTTTTTAACATGAAAGACATGTATCTTTCTAACATTATAGCTATTTTTTAAACATTATTTAAAGCAGTGAGCAGTATATTTCCGGTTCCTTCCCTCCTTATTCTCCAAAAATACCATTTTCTATAATACTTACTTCTTTTCTTCCTTAACTTCTATTGGTTGTTTCATTATTATATTGCCAGGATTTTATAACATTTATCCTCTGTTCTATGACCACAGTGCTTACATTTGTCTTAGCCTTAATTTTACACATAAGTGGAATCAATGATCACAGTAAATATTTTTTTTCTAAGTATCTTGGTTGGGTGGGTGAAATTCATCCTCAACTAATGTCCTATAACAGGTACATGAAACCACATTCTTGCACATTAAAAAATGTTGTCTATCACATTTGTACTTTAACAGGTTTCTCTGGTATAACATTTTTAGGTATAAATTTTTTGGGTCAGAAATTTTGATATTTTTCCCCCTACAGATATCTTGATCATTTTAATCTAGAGAATACCCAAAAGATTTCTATTTGCTTTGAAAAGTCAGTAGCTTTACTAGAATAGGTCTTAGTTTGATTTTTATGTGCCAGTTTTGTTTTCCTTTGGGATATGATGTGTCCTTTCTATCTATAGATTTAGATCTTTTATTTCTGGAAAATCTCTCAAAATATATATGTAAGCTCTACCCTTCTCCCCCCCCCCCCCCCCCCAATATATAGATTCTTTTCTTGGTTATCTGTCTTGATTGTGCATATATTGGATTTCTTTTGTCTCTCATTTACATAATTTTCTCTCATCCTTTTAAACAGTTTGTTCATTTTTATTTCGTTTTACATGTTTTTCTTGAGTATTCCATAACGCTTTAAAAATATTTTTTTGTTCTTAGTTTTTTTCTTAACAGTGGTTTTATTCTCTTTATGGTATTTCCAAATCTGTCTTTATTTTTAAAATAGTTTTTCCCCTCCCACTTCTCTTAATTCATGTTTGAGCTCCTTTTGTAGTTTTGCTTCATTTAAAAAAAAATTCAAATGAATACAAGTAGAGTTAAGAAAGTTGAGGCTCGCAGGCTCATTAATTCGTTGCCTCCAGCATGCCCCACACTCGGGATCAAGCTTACAACCTGAGCATGTGCCCTGACCAGGAATCGAACCATGACCTCTTGGTTCATAGGTTGATGCTCAACCACTGAGCCATACCAGCTGGGCAACACCCTTACCTTAAAGTTTATGGCTATATGTATAGTTAAAGATTTCTTTTTTTAATGGCAACAATTTTTTGATGAGAATTCAATTTGCCACTTTTTCCTCTTCCCTCCTTCCTTTTATCTTATCTTTGTATGCTGGTTCCTTTTTGATTGATTACCCATCTTTGAAGGAGGAGAGATTTTCAAAGATCTCCTATTTGCTGAAGGTTTGTGCTGAGGAGGGGCCTGGACCTTGCTCCAGCCTAACAGGAATTCCCCTCATGACACAAAGGCTGTGTGGATGAGTTCCTCCAGCTTCTATTTCTAAGACTGACTGGCTGTTGCAGGGCTGCCCACATTGCAGTCTATTAGAGCCATGTGTTCCATGAGCTTCTGAACAAATGGCTTGGCTAACATTCCTCTTTCAACGCTCTTTTAGAATACACTAGAGGCCCAGTGCATGAAATTCATGCACGGGTAGCGTCCCTAGCAGCTGCGGGCTGCCAGCCAGGGCCTCTCTTCCCCGGCTGCCGGCTTGGACCTTCCTTCATTCTGCGCCACCCCCTGGTGGTCAGCACACATCATAGCGATCGATCAAGCTTCCAAGGGGACACTTTGCACATTAGGCTTTTATATATATAGATATTATAATAAATCAGGTTGCCTCCTCTCTTATAATAAATCAGGTTGAGGGGAGGCATTGCTTCCAATCCAGTACTTGAGTCCCTTGATTCAAATGAATAATTGTTGATTTTGCCCCCAAGGTAAGTCACTAATTGTGTCATGTTTTCTGAGTTCTGTAGCTACCGACATCTTTTATCAGAGTCTTCCTGCTCTTCACTGTACTTTGGGATATACTTTAGTTCGGGGGTTTTAGCTTTTGTTTTCAGTGAAAATGGATTTTTGTTTGTCATTATCCTTACTGCAAGGTAATTTATGACAGGAGGTGGAGTAGAGGATGCTGCATTTATTTTACTATTTTAATTCTGAAAGTTTCTCTGGAGTATATTTTTAAAAATCACAGTTTTATGTATATATTATGGTATCCCATCTAGATTGTAATTTGGGGACTTTTCTGAATCCTTTAACTTTCCTTATATTCTTTACTATTGATTCTTAAAGTTTAGTATCTTAAGAACTGCTTCCATCCCTGGACAGTGTGCTAAATGGTTAGAGCATTGGCCTGTGCACTAAATGTTCATGGGTATGATTCCAGATCAAGGGCACCTACCTGGGTTGCAGGTTTGATCCCTGGCCCTGGTCTGGGTGAGTGTGGGAGGAAAGCAATTCACGTGAGTCACATAGATCTCTCTCTCTCTCTCTCCCTCTCTCCCTCCCTACCACTCCCTAAAAATCAATGGGAAAAATATCCTCCAATGAAGATTAACATAACATTTTTAAAAATGAATTGCTTCTAATGTTTTTAAAATTTTTTAGTAATTAGCCCTAATCATCTCAGGTGATTCTGATGCTGCGGTTCACCAACTGCACCTTTTAGATAGCTACTCAGTAACACTAATTGATGGATTTACTGGTATTTGGGTGAGAATTCTTGGTATTTGTAATAGAATACATGCTGTTTTTATACATAACGTATGTAGCAATAGAGAAGGTAGTGAGGCAGGGATTCTTTTTTGCGAGAAACATTTTTGTTTCTTAACTCAAATATTCTGTGATCTATTCAATTGAGTGGCTTTTAGCACACTGTGAATACACAATAAATGTTTATAAATGGCAACATTAAAATAGGGCAAAGTTTAATAGACAAAAAGTCCCAGACTCTCCAAAAGTGACTCAAGAAACACAAGTTATCTATATGTTTATCTTTCTATATCTATATGTTTATCTGACTAACCAGGCAAGTTCTCCCTTAGGGCCAATTTAACTATATGGTGGATTATGTGTTAATTTGTGAAGGTGTTAGTTACAATATAATGTAACATCCCCCTTTGCCATCTCAGCATTCTTTGTCGCAGACTGCTAGAGATTACATTTCCCAGCCCCCGCTATGGCCATGTCTGGCCATGTCGCCAAGTTCTGAGTGATGAGTCCGGCTTTATTTTTCGTCATAGTCACTTACCATTACATTACCTATCTATTCCTATGTTGACTGTCTCCTCCACTAGGATGTAAGAGCCAAAAGATGGGGATACTGTCTTATTTTCTGTCATATTCCCAGCATTTGTCATGTACATGTAAATAAGGCGGTACACGCATAAAGGAATAATTGCAAAGATACAGGAATTATTAGGTATTACAGGACATGTGAGTCCCAGTATTTCTGTATTAAGAATGAGTAATAGGCACCATCAAGGGGAGTTTAGGCTGATTTGGGTTACCAGTTGAGCTTGCATGACTACCCTCTCTGTGCACTCTTAGCATTCATATTTTCAAAGAGAGGGAAACTTTCTGGGTTGATTCCAGTCGATGGAATGGAGGATCCTTGTTGTGGAGAGCTTCATGCCATTTCCAAAGGTTGGCCTTTCTCATACCCAAACTAACTACACAGCTAGCTTTTGGCTCAAGTATCTATCTAGGTCCAGTTATCAGTGGCCAACACAGCATTCTTGGTTTCTCTTAAAATACAGTGGCAGCCCTGACCGGTTTGGCTCAGTGGAGAGAGCGTCGGCCTGCGGACTGAAGGGTCCCAGGTTTGATTCCGGTCAAGGGCGTGTACCTTGGTTGCGGGCACATCCCCAGTGGGGGGGGGGGGGGTGCAGGAGGCAGCTGATCGATGTTTCTCTCTCATCAATGTTTCTGACTCTGTCCCTCTCCCTTCCTCTCTGTAAAAAAAAAATCAATAAAATATATATAGAAAAAATACAGTGGCATGAGTCATAGCAACATTGTGCAGAAAGACCATCTATCTATCCTCACAAAACTTTGGTGAATATTGCTGGCCCTCCCGTGCTTTCAAAAGTGAATATTGTCCTTTTCACTGCATAGGGAGTTGTATTTGTATTATATGCGTTTCAAATGTACTTGAAAACATTTTCAGATGTCCTGATTTGAAGTGTCAGAAGGATACAATGGACATATATAGGCCAGTATTCCAAAGACCTGGGTTCAAGAACACCACATAGCCGCTCTGTGGCTCTGGATAAGTCATTTCATCGTTCGGGTCTCAGTTTCCTCATTTGTGGAAAGAGGTGGTGATTTGTGACCATTCCCAATCATACCAAACATCCTCTTTGTGAATGCAGATTTGACTTTTTGGAACAGATAAAACTTATCAGTGCCATGCCTATTAATACCATGTATGACAAAGGTAGATGATATTGTTTTTAAATCGTGGAAAGGTCATGCCTTCTTTGCCTTTATTTCTGTATATTCATTTCCAAGCAGCAAAAACCCAACACAAACTGGCTGACGCGAAGAGAAAATTACTGGCTCATATATTAAGAAGTTCAGGTTCTTCAGCTTCAGTCACAGCTTGATCCCGGAAGTCGAATGATATTATTAGGACTCACATTTGGTTTTCTTATCTCTCAGATCTGCCTTCTGCTGTTAGTTCCATTCTCAGCCACGTTTTCCATTGGCTGGCAATGGACGAAATGGCTGAGAATGTTGGTCCTGCTTGAGTCACTTGCTTGTTAGGAAATGATAATGACCAGAAGAATTCCTGAATTGGTTATACCTGAGTCACATGCTCGCCCTTCAAGTGGGGGAAATTCGGTTCTACTTGAATCCCAGGAACTGAACATGGCAAAAAGGCACTTCCCCAAATAACGTCATTGTGCCGATCCCAAAAAGGTATAATGGATGCTGAACATGAAGAGAGGGGGAGGGAGGGAGAGAGGGGTATAGGAAGGGAGAGAGGGAGAGAGGCAAAGGATGGAGAGAGAGAGAGGGAGAGGGAGAGGGAGAGGGAGAGGGAGAGAGAGAGAGAGAGAGAAAGAGAGAGAGAGAGAGAGAGAGAGAGAGAGAGAGAGAGAGAGAGAGAGAGAATGAATATCACTTGTTGCATTAGACCAGTGGTCGGCAAACTGTGGCTCTCGAGCCACATGCGGCTCTTTGGCCCCTTGAGTGTGGCTCTTCCTAAGCCTTAGGAGTACCCTAATTAAGTTAATAACAATGTACCTACCTATATAGTTTAAGTTTAAAAAATTTGGCTCTCAAAAGAAATTTCAATCGTTGTACTGTTGATATTTGGCTCTACTGACTAATGAGTTTGCCAACCACTGGTCTATGATTAGGCAAATTCGTCCCTTAAAATGTTTCTCCTTTCCTGTTTTTATTGCAGTATAGGCACTCTCTGTTTCATGGTAGTTTCCTATTGAATGTCTTTGCCTCTAGTCATTCCCACTCAAGTACATTCTAGGTATTGCCACCACATTACTCTTTCTAAAGCATTGTTTTCATCATTTCACTCTCCAGCTCAAAATCTTACAGGAACCCTCTTCGGACTACCTGTCTGGTATTTATGATCTTCTCCAATCTGAGTCCCACATATTTTCCTACCTTATCTGTCTACCTATACTCGTTCCATGTGCTAACCAATCTGCATTGCTCACCATCACTGAACACACTGTATGATTTCCTTACAATACCTTTACTCTATTTGCATATTCTACCCCATCACCATTTCTCTCATCCGAAGTCAGAGTTCAGATGATAAGCCGGAGACTGCCAATTGTCTCCAGTATTTGTTCTCCCCTTCTCCTTTAACATTAGAACCACTGATTGTCTGCTGGGGACACGGCCACTTAATATCAACATCACTTACAGTTAACTTCTGACCAACAAGGTGTAAGTGTAGTGATGCATACAACTTCTGCAAGTGTTCTTAAATAGAGGTGTGTGTTCTTTTCTGCCCCCAACTCCTTTCTACTATCTGGAAAGAAGGATGTGAGGGCTGGAGCCTGAGCAGCCAGCATGGACTATAAGGTAGAAACTTCATGTTCAGTACGGTGGAGACACATATGGAAGGAGTCTGTGCCTGTACCATACCAACCCTGGACCTCTTACACTTACACGAAAGGAATACATTTTATTTTAAGCTACTGTTATTTTGAGTTCTTAATTGCTATAAAAACCAATCTCTCCCTGAAAATATATTATTTTCCATTCAAAATCTAAACAAAGTTGGAGGAATTATTTTAAGGGTATAAGGATTTCTCATAGAATCTATGGGCAGTGATAAAGGAAGCCTCAGAAATAAACTAGAACTGAAACACCATGGGGAAGCCAGGAAGTCCTCTCATTTTCTCCTTTCTTCTTCTCTTTCCTCCTTCTGCAGATTATTTATGTACCGGCATAGAGAAGCAATAAATAAATGTGTTTAATGGATGGTAACTCGTGTGTCTGCGAAATAAACTGGATCTGAAGCCAGTTTTCAAAACATCTCCTTATATGTATGTGGCTTGTTAACGTGATTCTTTTGAAGGAAACCATGCTTTTTTAGAGTCTGAGCTCCTCTCAGCTCTCAGATCTCTTCAGTTGTTTATTCCAACTTCAGAAAAAGGGCCTGAACTGCAGTGCTGTTCACAACTGACCCAATGAAAGACACTTTAGAGACAGCCCTGCTTTTGTACAGGAGTTGCAAAGGCAACATTTTATGGGAATGTGGGCAGTGAGCACTGGCCCACAAGTTACTATTTTGCTAGACAAGGAAATGACAGATTGCTCTTGGTACCTTTTTTTCTGTAACCAGCTTTAAAAAAAAAACAAACACCTTTGCATTGCTATTATTTACTGTTGGGGTTCCTGGTTACCTGGTTTGGGCCCTTGAGGGCTTCTTATGTTTTTGATATGTTTGATAAGATGTTTTACATATTTTATCGAGCATTTTGAGTTGCTTTTGGTGGGAGAACCGAACAATCTCTAGACTGCCATACTGCTGGACATGGAGTCCTGTGTGCTTTCTAAAGGATTTTAACTTCATTTGCTTGTGAGACATTACCTTGCATTCTGAAGACTGGAGCCCAAACTCTGGTGGCCCAACCTCCCCATCTGTAAAAATGAAGAATAACTCTTTCTACCCATGGCAAATACACATGGCAAATTATTTTTTGTAAAGAACTCATGAGATAATTTATGTGAAGTTAGTTTGAAAAGGAAAAGTACCATATAAATATACAACATTTTCTGAACTTTGAAAACAAAATAGAGGCAAGCAAGCAATAAAAGTTGTAACTAAGGGTAACAACCTTAGAATGATTTGTTCAATTTCTAGATATTTCCACTCATCTCCTTTGTTTTCTGGCCCCAGGTATGGATGGGAAATCCTTAAGATTTAAAAAAATTATTTAATATTGTATTTGACATTAGTTGTATATTATAACTTATTTTTTAATGAAAGAGAAAGAAGGCAAACTGGAACACATTACAAAATCTATCATTATCTTTACAAAGTTGTGAAGTGTCCATCTCTTTAACATATGGCTGGGCAATCTAACTTAGGATGTTCACATGCTCTATATATTTTTCAGGCTGAGATTCTGAGTGTCTAACATTCTTATAATGTGCCCTGGTCTCTGCTTCAAGGACACTTAAGTGTTATTATAGGTAACTACTCATATCGCTCTTCACATTCTCAAACTATGCTAGCAGGTTAAATATGTAAAAGGAAACACCACTACATATATTCCAAAGAGCCTTATGGATGGCTTGAAAATAAACCAATGTAGGACTTAGGTATATGGCTATTGCTTACTATTTCCCATAGATACACAACATCTCAGATCTTATGCAGAGTATACCATAGGGCCTGTCCTCTAAACATTTATATACCAAGACAGTACATCCCCATGTATTTCCTTCATTCATTCTGCATTTATTGAGCCAGTCCTTGTGCCAGTTCTCAAGAAGCTCATAGTAATTGGGAAAATAGACAAAACTACAACTAGCATTCTATGGGATAAGTGCTAAAAAGCGGTAAGGTGGTATGGGAACACAGTTAGGGGCACCTACCTCTTACGGGTGTGTGGGTAGGACAGGGCTGGGTGACAAGCCACGCGGAAGGGTTGACAACGGAATTGATACCTGGGTTGCATAATAAAGGATAAGCAGGAATTAGGTAGGTAAGGAAGAGGTGGAGGTTCAGGATGTAACAAGGAAAAGGAGCAGCATACGCAAAAGCAAGATGACAGAGAGAGTGTGGCAAGATTGGGGAACCTGAGTAGTTTGCTGCACGTTGAGTTTATTGATTCCACTTAGTTGTTATTGACATATTTGTCTCCTGCACTGTGTCTGATTCTTTGTGCTAGAGATTGTAATGGTGTCTCTGTTCCCATGTCCAGCAGTAGGCACATAGATGGAGCACAACAAATGTTTGAATGACATGACATGAATGACATAATATAAGAAAGGATACAGTTAGGAGTCCATTAATAAGGAAGGTCATATTTGGTGGCAGTGAATATGAGATGAGATAGATTTAAAAATTATTTGGAAATTAAAATGGCTAGAACTTGATCTATTGGAGCTGGGGTATAAAAAAGTAAATAATGACTTTCCAAGTTTCTATTTGGATTATAGGTGGATGATAATAGTAATAATATTAAAACTAATATTCATTAGGCACTGTGTCACGCAGTACACTGTTTTACATTATTAAACCATCTAACCTCTCAACAGCTCAGTGAGGTAGGCACTCTTCACCACCCGCCTTTCCTGATGAGAACATGGAGGCCATTGGCGATCACCTTGCCCAAGGTCACTCAGCCAGGGGTGGCAAATTCCAACCCAGCAATTCCGATGCCTACGGACATGCACATGCCCCAGTCTTCACTGACTCTGAAAGATGTGATCACTATGCAGAATGACGGTCCTGTTCCAGATGTGTATCCCATAAATCTCGGGGATCCCCGTATCCCTTTTACTAAACATAAAAACTCACAGGGTGACTGCCTCTTTTTTTATCGGATTTTGGGAGCTTGGTTCTGTAGCTCCACTTTTCCTCCTTGGAGGACCTAAAGTGGGGTGCATGTTGGATGACAGTTGACACAAAAGATGAGAGACGGCAGGTATAGAAACGACATTCTCGAATGCTCTAGCAGCTGCTGGAATGATGGCATCTGGGTTCTATGGGACTCTCCTTCCTGCCCTCCCCCCGCCCCCAACACACACACTCACACACACACACACACACACACACACTCACACTCACACACACTCACACACGCGGTGAGGCGTGACGCCAGGTCTCAGGGTGAGCAGTCCTCAACTCACATCCACGGTTCACCTCCCAACTCCTGTGAGCCCTTCACACCCGCAGTGAACTCGAGACCGCCCGCCCGGCCCAAGGAAACACTGCCCAGGGCCGGGTCGCTCGGTTCCCAGGGAACCCGCCCGCGGAGGCACCTGGAGGGGCCCCCCGAACCCGCACCCCAGCACCTGCGCAGAGCCCCGCCTGGAGCCAGGGGCCCGGGAGCGCGTGGGGCCCCGGCCCCGCCCCCTCCCGCCCCCAGCCCCGCCCCCCGCCGCCCGGCCACTCCCGGCTCCGGCCCCGCTCCGGCGCAGGCGCAGTCCGCGCTCCCTCGGCGGCCCCCAGCGCAGTGCGCCCGCCGCGGCGGAGGGTAGCGGCGTCGCCGGCGGCCTCCTCTCGCTCTCGTGGCTCCGGGGCGCGCTCCGTGGGGGCTCCGCGAGCGCTTCTGATCGCGGGCAGCGGCCGCCGCGGGTTCCTCAGGTGAGTGCAGCCGCGCGCGAGAGAGGCCGGGGCGCCGAGCACCGCCCCATCGGCGCCCGCACCCCGCCTCCCCGGCCGGCCCTGAGGGTGGCCGCGGCAGGTGCAGGTGCGGGCGCCGCGGAGGGCGCGGTGCGCGGGGGTCGGGCCGGCTGCCGGGACCCGGCGGGCGCGCTCTCTCGCCGGCGCCAGCGGGCTTCTGTCCTCCTGTTTCCCCGGCACGGGGCTCCGGCATCTGGGCACCCCCGGGCCCGCCGGGGGGGCGCCGGGCGTCGGCGGCCCCTCCCCCGCCCCTCCTCCCAGGTACGGGCTCGTTACTCATTAACTGCGCGGCCCCGAGCGCCCGAGGCTGGGCGCTCGGGGCCGGGTTACCTGTCGGCGGGGCGCGCGCGGCCGGGGCCGGGGGCCTGGAGGGAGTTCTAGGGAGAGTCCCCCGTAAGTCCGGAGCTGCGCGGAGCCTGAGCCGGAGCCGGAGCGGGGCGAGCAGCCGGCATGGGCCAGGGGGTCTCCGTGAGCGACCCGCCCGCCCCATCCCGAGGGCCGCTCGCGGGAGGTCTGGCGAAACCTGGTGGGCGGGAGCCGTCGCCGGTCGCGCCGTAGGAAGGAGGCTGCCCGGTGGAGCCTGACTTTTGTTTCGGGAGTTGGGACGCGCTGCACCGACGTAATTGTAATTACACTGCTCTTTCCAGCGATGACAGCTCACTCGGCCGCGGGGGGCGGGGAAGCGAGATGAAGGGATCCTAGGAGTGATGTTAGGTGGGATCCTGCAGCGCGTGGAGTGGCCAGTTGCTATATGGGATTAAAAAAAACCCCCCAAAACTGTAATGGCCAAAGGGTAAGGTCTTGTAAGGGAAGACCGCTGGCTTCGTACTGCTTCCTAAGAGGCTGTGGAGTTTGGAGGAAACGTAGCATATCCCGGCGCTACCCGATTCAGGAAAGAGCCATGTAATCTTCTGCCATAGAATACTTACATAATTGGATAGGCTGGTAAGAGGATTAAAACAGTTCCGCTCTGTTGTAAATCTGTGGAAAGACCCAGTTCTTAGTCATTATCCTCATTCTTATTTTGTGGTTCGTGCAGTTCTTTTTTTTTTTAGAGGTGAAATGACACATCAAGGAGGAAAGAGACCGAATAGATTTGAAGATCAATCCTAGTGAATGTTTTATGTCGTTAAATAACCCACCAGTTTAATGGGGCCTTGTTCTGCTAACATTTGTTGTTTACTAGTACTGTGCATCATGTTTGGACAGACATTATATCCCAATAGTGGCTCAGTTGATCGAATCCTAAAGCCCTTGTGGAATTTATAGAAATGAATCGAGCAATTATATACAATGTTACTACAATAGTGTATTTCTTACTGATAGGAGAAAGCCTTTTATTTTTTCACGACAGCAAAATTACATATTAGTGCACACTTTTTTGAATCAAAATGGATACATTTACTATAGCTCTTCCTTATGTGTTTGGCAAACAACTCATTTGTGGTATTGAAACTTCTAACCTTTCACCAGGATGGATATTTGATGTTCAGCCGCTTAATGGGCTTTGCAGTTAGTGGGGTTTCTAATTAGATCCAATTGTACTTTTTGAATGAATGTAGCTATGCATACTCTTCTTTCAATATTTTTCCCTCTAACTTTCCCTAAACTTGTCTCCCCCCAACGTAGATACTGCACAAATAATTTTAAAATTAAAGGTTCTTAGAAATCTAGGTCTCCATCATTTTTTAATATGCAGACAAAAACTTGTAGGTTACATGTAGTTTTACATGTAGTATTGTGGTTATTATACCTTCCTTTTTCCCATCCTGAGTAGGACTTGTTGAACCAATTAGTAAGCTGATCAGATGAAAAATTAGTAAATTGGTGTTTTTTTTTTTTAAGTTTTAGCTCCGTTACTGTACATGTGACCTTGAGTAAATCATTTAGCCACGCTGAGCTAATTTTCTCTATTTGTGAATGATTCAGTATTAGGTTGAACCATATACATTTGCCGGTAGTCAGTTCTTTTTCATATGCTTCAACCTAATATGAACTTCATGGTAGTGGGATGTGAATTAAATGGGGTACTCTGTATAAGATGTGGGGGTAGGGGAGCAGGGGAAGAACAGAAATATAAGCCTGACAGTGTGCCGCGCCCTGTTCTTGTTGCTTTAGGTGCCCCGACTCCTTATTCTTGGGGCATTCATGGGATATTGGTGGTGGTGGTGAGTTTTACAGATGAGGGAATTGAGGCTCAGAGAGGTGAACTAACTTGACTGTGTTTACTTGTCAAAGGTCATATACTAGTTATAGCTGACTAATGGCAGAGCCAGTATTAAAAACTGAGTGATTGCCCCAAATGGAACTTTTTAAAAAAATGTTTTATTGTTGATAGAATTACAGATGTCTCCATTTTCTCTCCCTTACCCCCCATTCTCCCAAACCCTCCTCAACGCCGCCCCCCCCCTCCGCCCCACGTCTTCACTACCCTATTGCCTGTGTACATGAGCGATGCATATAACTATATAAGTTCTTTAGTTTGTCTCTTCTTGTCTCCCCATCCTCACATCAATGTATGTCAGTCTGTTCCATGCCTCCATGCTTTGGGTCTTATTTTGTTGGTCAGTTCATTTTGTTCATTAGCTTCCACAAATGAGTCAAAATAGAACTCTTAACATGCTTGCTTCTTCCATTCTTGGTCTATACCTTCTGTAAAAGAATTTTGTAACTATAAAAGGTGAAAGGCGTTATCATTTGTATTTCTTGTTAAAAAAATACCCAGGCCCTGGCCATGTAGCTCAGTTGGTTAGAGTGTCCTCCAGGTATGTCAAGGTTTTGGGTTTGATCTCCCTCAGGGCATGTATAAGAAGCATCTCCCTCTCTTTCTCCCTGTCTCTCCCCCTCTCTCCCCCTTTCTCCCCCTCTCTTCCCCTCTCTTCCTCTCCCTCTCCCTCCCCCTCTCCCTCCCACTCACCCCCCTCACAAATCAATAAAGAAAGACTGACTAGGTTTTCCTACAAGGGTGATACCAGTGCTATTACTACTATTGAGTCTAGGGCTTACCATGTATCAAGTTCTGATTTAAGCACTATGCCAGTTTATAATCACAGTGACCTAGGAAGTAATCCCTACTTTTATCCCATTTTATAGTTGAGAAGATTGAGGAACTCAGACATGAAGCTTGCTCAAGGTCACAATGCTAGTTAAGTGACAAGACTAGATTAGAAGTCAGGCAATTTGTCTTTAATGGCCATGCTCTTAACCTCTCTACTCCACTACTTCCTCATGTGCAGGTTGTAATTACTTTTAATTTAGCTTTTATGAGATACTTAGCATTAGTGTATTAAGTAATTCTTCATGTGTCACCAGAGATTTTTAAATCAAACACTCATTGAGCAGCTGCTCTGCAAGTCACAGTGGGGGTTAAAGGAAAGTATTCTTAGTAAGTCTGGAACATAGGCTACATACCCATTCCCGTATCTTTTATAAGTTCTTCAAATTTAGAAGGTGCTCTTCACTGTTGTGATAATTTTAATGAGTGCAAAATAAGACAAAGTGTTAGAATAGTTGGATAATGGGGAGGAAGGAAGGATGAGTAGTGGGGTAGAGATATTTGTGTGTGGAGGTATGAGGGAAAGCTTGGAGGACATTCTGAGAGAGTACAGCTTATCAAACTAAGCTTTGTCTTCTATAGTCCTGGTTAAGATGCAGTTAAAACGAAGGGTAGTAAACTGGTTACTAAATTAATTACTTACATGTACTTGATATCCTAAAAACAATGCCTCTACTCTAGTATTTATTAATCTTGATATTTACATTGTATTTATAATGTTAATGACAAGGAGGCCTCTTCCTTTATGGTTCTCAACCTTCCTAATGCCGCGACCCTGTAATACAGTTCCTCATGTTGTGGTGACCCCCAACCATAAAAAATTATTTTCGTTGTTACTTCAAAACTATAATTTTGCTACTGTTATGAATCGTAATGTAAATATCTGATATGCAGGATGTATTTTCAGGGGTCGCGACCCACAGGTTGAGAACCGCAGTGAGGGTTTAAGTCATCTTACCCCATTTTATAGCTTTAGCATTCGGCCTGGAACCCAAACGCAGGTACTGCGCTGTGTTTGGTGATGGATGGTCAGTAGGAGACTGTTAGGATGTATTGAAATTGATCTAGAAGTAGAAATGGAAATGGGGGCTCAGAGTGAGCATTGAGGGGACTGAGGAAAGGAAGACAGGGATACTTATAACAGGTAGCATTAGCTTGTCATCTTTATTTCCCCCCTCTGCTTTCCTTTTCAGCTTGTAACTAAATGAGGTAGTTTCAGAAGCTTAATTGCCTGTAGTCATTGTTAGAAAAAAGTGAAAAAGTAATTTTGATTTAGGATGTCAGCCACACAAAATTAGTGATAGTCATAAACTAAGATTACTTAAGTCAGAGGGAAAAGAATGAAAATTATTGAAATAGTTCAAATTTATGGGAGATTTGTTGCTTGTAGTTAACGACAGGTTTGTCAGTGTAAATGTAATGAAAGTTGATGAACTTCTAGATTATATGAATTGGCAGTCTAATATAAAGAAACTGAATTTAAGAATGTGAGTGCCCTTGAAGCATAGAAGAGCAGACAGATGAGAGCTTAGAACCAGTTAAATAAGTGGGTTGTAATTTGAAGTACCTAGAAAAGAGGAACACTATTAGGTATTTACTTTGGGCACTTGGTTAACAAATGGGGATAAAATATGGATGAACAACCAAAGTAGGTTTGAGAAAACAAGTAAATGTTCATTAATTAATTTCTTGGTGGGAAGAGAATTTATGTTTGAACACAGAGAAATTAAGTGACATGTTCAAATTCATAAAGCTAGTCAGTGACAGAACCTGAACTAGAAGGAACGTTTTCTGAAGCTAGTTTGATAACATCCTCTTCTTCCCCCAAACTTTGAAAATTCAGTTTCTCCAGTCTTGATGATAGTCTAAAGCAAGCATGTCAAACTTGCGGCCCACAGGCCACTGC